TTGGGCAGAAAAGGTTTTGCAATGTTATCGCCGTGTTCATCCGAAGGGCGTCATATTCCATGAGCCTTTTTGCTGTAACTTTCGTATTTATTTCCAATGTTTACATAAACTCTGAAATTATGCTTGTTTTCTGGTCTAAGGGCTCTCACTTCAGATTTTTTTTATAGATTATATTGAATAATTCCTTTGGTGTGTGTAGAAGCTCCAAAAAAACGTTGCCACGATCATATGTAAAATAATGTATCGTCTGGCTGCATTCCTTAATGGAGTGTCCCAACAACGCGACAAAGAATTTAAGACAATTTGAAAAGTGTAAAGAACAGAGAAATGCCCCATTTGATGAAAATATATTCGTGTCGTATCCAAAACCCTTTGTGTCCAACGTTGATTTCGGCAACAGTTGAATCTGGAAGGAGAAGTTCCCCACAACCGCATTCAGAGACCCCATTGCGATGATCTTTCCAGAAATCGCAACCTTAAGGTTGCAATTTAAAGTCTGGAAATTAATTTATAGTTAAAGTCTGATATTATCAGACACACTAAATAAGGTTACAGCAAAACATTTGTATTCATGTTTGAGCAATAACCACAATGGAACTTTCTGTATAACACGCTATACAGTACTTGCAAAGTCTTGATGTCGAATGAGAGAATTATCTGAATTCTCTTCATTTCATGTGTTTCCCTTTTTTTGTGAAAAATCGCTCGGGACACCCCAGGCGGAAGCTTAAACTAATTGCATTTTCTTCTCAGTCCAACAAGTGCAGTGAACTGTCCCTCCTCAGGGATTTCGTGCATTCATGAAAAAAAAAATTATTTTACATTAGTCGTGATCTTCGGCTCTCATTTTGCATCCCTTGAGGCTGTGGACCTCCATTAGAATTAACCCCAATCATGATCATGCAAACATTTTCACTCGATTTCTGCATTCATTCCCATCTGTGATACCCCTATCTCTCACAACGCTTTACCTTTGATTATGATGATGTCCTGAAAGGCGGCTTTTTACAAGATATTTACAGAACCTCCTCCCAGTCTGTCCCCTTCCCGGAGTTATCTACTAGGCGTGAGAGTATCTGGAGGAACGAAACCCGGAAAGCTTCTAAAGCTCCATCTCCGTGGGGTTGCAGAGAACACCAAGTTTCGTTTTTTGAAGATGCTAAATTCATTCCAAGAAATCCCCTCTAGGTGGTCCCAGCGAAGGGAGTTTTGGAAGACATCACCCCCCAAAAATTATATTGACCTGAAGAGCAGGAAAAGTACCATTTTTGTTGTTACGATGCACCATTTCTCTCTAAAAAATTAAATTAGTCATCGTTCATTTACACTTATCGCGCAGGCTCCAGTCCCTTCCCCTACGGATATCGTGCAGGAGGAATATCGGATACATGACTGCCTCTGCCTAAATTTCAATGCTCGGGTCTTGCTTTTTTTATACGGGTGGAATAAATGTTAAAGCCTTCTTACTACTTCATGTACCCTATTGGTGGCTTCGTTGCAACGGGACATCAAATTGTCCCAGAGCGACGGACTTCCCTATGATCTCTCGTATTTGAAACGATCAGCAGGAAAACCGAGCATGAAAACTCACCATTCAATAGCATGGTGAGTTTTCTCACTCAACTCTGAACTCACCATTCATCATGTCGTTTCTGGTCGTTCCTGAAATTTAATACAGGCACGCCAAAACAGGATTTCAGACTCAACGCGGTGACAGCCCGATAGGGAAATGTAACTTCATTATATAACATACGAGGTCTGAAAATAAATAACGAGACTGACAACACTGTAATGCGTGTATAACACTGGCTTGATGGCGATTGCTATAACCTGTCTGTGCATGTCTTAAGTCTCTGCTGTAACAAACTTTTCGTGATACTTCTAGTGATTCCAGAGCAGTACCACTGTACCACTAAGGTAGTGTCAGGGGCACTTATAAAAAAAATGGGCGATAATATTACGAACAAAGAATCAACGTGAAATTTCCAATCAAACTCGGGAAAAAACCAACTGAAGTCTTTGAAATGTTGAACTTTCCGTTAAAATCAATCGTACTGTCTCTGTCTATTGATACACAGTTCTTCGGCAATCATTCTGACAATAAGATGACGATCACTTCGCGCCAAAGTTCTCACATTTTCCATATTTCCATCCGATGTTGAAGTTGTCAAACGTCCAGGTCGTCTGTGAAACTCAACTTTTTCCCTTCCTTCAGAAAAGCGTTTACAACATTCAAAGACATTTTGCTCTAGACATAACCTCATCTCCGTACACTTGTTTCAACACTTCGAAGACTTCAGTTGTTTTTTTTTCCCGAGTTTGATTAGAAATTTCACGTTGATTCTTTGTTCATAATATTATCACCCATTTTTTGACAAGTGCCTAGGGGCACTTGTCAAACTACTTTATGTAAAGTAAATACTTAGGTAAAGTACTTTAGGTAAACACTACTTTAGGTAAAGTGGTACTGCTCTGCAATCACTAGAAGTATCACGACAAGTTTGTTACAGCAGTGACTTAAGACATGCACAGGGAGGTTACAGCAATCGCTAGTAACCCAGAGTTGCCACAGTGTTGTCGGTCTCGTTATTTTATTGTCAGACCTCGTATATTCTTACTAGAATTAGATGCAACCAATTGAAAAAACTGTAGCTGATTTGAGGGGGGTTTTCGAGATGACATCAGTGAAAGAACAAGAAAGCATGCGGTTTGGTTTTGATGAGGTATCGCAAGGAGTCCTGAGACAGCCCTCGTATTTCTTATCGCAGATTCCAAACTAATGAACGGATTGCAGAGTAATCAACAATAGAATATTATTTTTTAAAATGAATGCAACCTGGTTCCACCTCCGCCATGAAAGGAGTAAAAGTGACATCTGCTAATCATCATTCTAGAGGGTGACAAAGGCCGTCCCACTTCGCATTCACAGTATGTCTCTCGAAACTCACCATTGAGCCAGATTTGTGGCCGAAGAGGAGGGCGAAGGGGAAGACGAAGGTGGATAGGAACAGCCCTACCAGGGTCCCAAGGGTCACGAATTCCTCGTTCAATCCGTTTTTTATGGAAGCTCGATCCCAGGAAAACATCTGTGACTGCAGCGACCCAAGTGCAGCCCGGTAGAATGCCAGCGCCAGCAGCCCTAAGAACTGTAAACAGAAGCAAACTGCATTCTTCTCCGCGGCCATTCGGAATGGAAGGGGCAGAGAGAGAAAGGGACTCACGATTTCTACATATTTGAAGAAGGCTGGAGGATTCGCTAGCGCTTTGATATCCATGTCCAACTTCGGCCCTGAAATCCGATCTTCCTAGGTGTGAGACTTGGGATTCTCGCGGCTATCTCTTATTAAACGTTTTGTCGTTTCCACCCGCTCCTCGTATATTGAGATTTTTTTTCCTTTACCTTGCGTAACTTCCATATGTCCATATCCGCGATGCGTGATAAGATATGAATGGTTCCACATTTACGATCTGTGGTACTTTCGATGAGAAAGTAAGAGAGAAATACAACCCAGAATGGTCTCCGGCCAGTGGTCACTATCTCATTGGTTGCCATAACACTTCACTGTAAAAAATAATTCCGACTTAAGACATCGGAAACAGGGTTTTCGTCTTAAGCGCAGAGAAAGCGATTCCGATTCATAGCAGAAGCTATGTCTCTTATTTTTTAACGTAAACATGCTGTTCCAAAAAATTCTCAGAATCCATTTTCTGATCAAAGCGAGTAATGGAGCTTTTCTCTGATTTTCCAGAAAAATTACATTCCATAGTCGGAATCGAGTTTCCTTTCACGGATTTCATTTTACGTCTCATTCGGGATTTCATTAATTTCCTTCATTATTCAAAAACGGATCCTTTCCATTCGAAATACTTCATTATAAATGGGAATCATTATCATTACGTGAGCTCCTCTTATTAATCAGTGAGTATTTGGTGAATGTTTATCACGGAGAAGCTGTAAGTTCTACTCAAAATGCGATAATTCAATAAATCCATTTAATCACTTTCGGTAAAGATCGCGACCCACTTTCGCTTCTCTCTCTTCTCAGAGAGAGGATGTTAGTTGAGAAGGGCCTGGTCCTGCATCTTTTATACTTGGTTTGGTCAAAGAAGTGCTGGATGCCCGGCAGTCAGAAATTGTATTGTAGATGATGTTGGTGAAGCAAAGCGTCCATCGTTTCAGAGCAGTTCCTCTCCCGACGGGAATAACAAGCTGTGATGCTGTTCGTTTCCCCTGTATCCGATAGGAAGTACACATAATAATACCTTTCTTCTTGAGAATGAAAACTATTACGATTTTCGAAGCATCACGGTGTCATATTTAAGGGGATGTCAGAGGGTAATGGGAGCAATCTATCATTCGGGTTGGAAACTAAAGGTATAGGGTGGCTTCCTCGTGGTGCCAATACTAAATACTCGAACCATCTCGATGAGGTCCAAGGAGAGATTGAAATGCTCCGGATTGAAATGAATGTTTGGCGCCATCCTGCTAATTTAGGGATGTCTGTGCACGACATCTCCATATCATACCACACCGATAGGGTAACCAACGCTGCATTCTCAGCTCGTCTCATGGGTTCGGTGCAGTAATTTCTCATACACAATGGAAGAACCAGACATAGAGTCTAAGGCGGAAGCAGTCATGAATCCGACATATCTCCACCCCTTTATCCGGCAACACTGGGGAACATGACGGAAGCCCTCACGTGAAGTCTTAATGAAAGCCAGTTAACTTTAATTATAATGACGAACTGATGCATCGAAACAATAAAAATGGCAATCTTTGAGATCTAAGAGTCTATGAGTCTTTTTTTTGTTGGTATTTTCCTTCGAAGTCTCTCAGACGATAAAAACGAATCTCGCTTGAAACAATATTTTGTTAAAAAGGAATTTTTCGTTCGTCTGGATTCTCACGTCTGCTTTCCTTTTGAGGGCTAAGTAAAAAAAGGCCTCAACGCAATCTTTTCCTTTATATTTAAAATAACTACTCTTACACATTCAGCCTACGAGATGAAATTCAGGTGACCCCATCGTCTTTTTGCACTCTCCTTATATTCCTCAGACGCATCAGTCGGCAAGCTTGCAACGAATTCCTGCAAGTGTGCCTCCTCTGCAGCCTCGTCCTCTTGTTCGCTGGCCTCCATGGCGAGTTGAATGAGGTAGGAAGTGCTGCGGGATGCCCCGATGTAGAATTGTCCCCTTTCCTTCTCTCTTTGATTGGTGATCAAGAAGACGATGGGGGCTTCCATGCCCTTGAAGAAATTAGCGTACTCAACAAGAAGGCGGGGGCTGCTGGGAGAAGTACCGAACTTCGATTCCAGTTCTTTCCTCAGCCGGTCTTTGTGGAAGAAGAAATCCCCTCTGTAGGCGAAGAGTATGACGATGTCGCCGGGGTGTGTCCCACTCCCGAACTTGTCTCTTAGAGTTTCCAGGATCCTTTCAGCTAGATGGGAACTGGAAACGGGAAAATTTTCCACCTTGGGGCCCTGTATATCGTGGCCCGAGAGGATTTCGTCTCTTTTGTATGTGGGGTCGCGGGTGCCGCTTTGGTATAATTTGAAGTCTTGCTCTGATGAGAGTTTCGTGGTCCACGTTTCTAACACGGATCCGGGGTTCCTCAAGACCGCAAGCAAGGAATGTGCTCCTTCCAAATTCTTCTTCAACGAAGCTGGCATGCTTGTGAAGGAAAGAGGGTCATAGGCCTGCCAGAAATATCCTCCAGCTCCTTTGTGGAGGGAACGAAATGAAGTTAACCAGTGATCTTCGAACCCCTGACATAAGTCTTCGGCTTCGTCGACGAAGATGTGATGGAAAGGGGGCATCCGGGTTTTTAGTATCTTCTGCACGTCCGCAAGTACGACATGTTGCATCGTTTGGGGTAAGTCCATCACCAGGTCACGACATTCAGATAACCGAGAACTCATTCCCAGCATTGATTTACCCACAGATCCTTTCGAAATTAGCTGGAGAGGATGGTTCACTTCCTCAAGCGCTATGATTTTGAGGCTCGCATCCAAGAAATTCATGGAGTTAGGTTCGGGAGCGAAAGATTGGAAGAGGCGTCGGACGATTCGATTCTTAAGCGGCCATCTCCCCATCTTCTGGCGTGGGAGCCTGACGAACGAGTTCTCAAAAAATCGATGGAATGCGAATAATTCCCAGGTAGCATTCCGGATCCTCCAGTTCTGATTCGCTGAGCAGATTTCTTCATTATCCTCTCCGTTCGCCTGGACGGATGCTGCTTTGTCAGTTCCTTTCGTCCCCGAGAACTCCCCGCCCCATACTTTTTGCTCGTAAGGGGTCATGCAGCAGATGACAAGGTTTTTCACAATTATCTGCCTAACCTTCCGTTTTTCGTTCTCTTCCTCGATTTCCTTCCTCCATCTGTTGAGCATTGCCATTGCAGACTTGAGAAGGAGATAGGAAAGGGTCCGAAAGAAATGGTTGGCTAGATGTTTATTAAAACAGACGACAAGGATCTTCTCGTCCTTATCCTGGATGGGTCCATCAGAGAACCAGGACATCACGATGTTCCTAATTTTTTCCTGAAGGAGCCAGGTCTTGCCCGTTCCAGCCGCTCCTTTCACGGTGAATTCCTTGGGTCCGTTCACCAAGATGTCCAATTTATCTGCAGTGAGGAAATTGAAATCTTGCGTCGTCATCCGGGCCGTGTAAGCGGGAGTCGCGTACACCGGGGCGATATATCTAAGGGAAATCAAAATGCGGGTTTCTTACTCTACGAAGAGCTCCATTTTGGGAATGGTAGGAATATTCATCTCGGAAAATTTGAGAAAATAGTTAATCAGAAATAGATACGTCAAATGTGAGAAAATCACCATGCGTAAAAAAATCCTGCATGTATTTAAAAATCTTTAGCAGGTATCGTGCCGACGCACCGTTTTACATGCAGAAAAACATGGAAATACGCCATTGAAAATGCTATCAGATGAGAAATAATACACGGAGACATTGAAAGCGAATTTCAGAATTACTTTTTCATAATCACGTTGGAGGACTTTGAACTCTCTCTTCACTCCTGAATTCTTGGAGAAAGAACGCTTAAGAAATGAAAAATGAGAATCGAGCGCATCTGAAAAGCGTTGGTCTCGGTCACATTCTCGTGCCCATTCGTCAGAGATTTCTGCCGCGACTGCTTGGGAGGATCATGCGTGAGAAAATCCTCTTCATTCCTTGCAATCTCCAGAGTGCTAGCAACGCTATAAAGGGAAGCCATTTAATCCGTTCAATGTCGGCTCTTCTTAATGTAGGCAAATGGCTACCGGTAGGAATGGTCTTCTCGAAGTTAGGTACTTCATAATGCCATCGCAAATGAGAGCACATGCCCCAAGACCAACTGAATGTCAACCCTGAACTTCATGATTTATTTAGAGTTGTAAAAAAATCGGACAATATTCTTCGTGCAGCAGAAGAGAACTACGAGGGAGAAAAAAACCTTCAACTTTTGTTTATTGATGAAAAAAGTATGTTTCTACCTGTTTGTGTGACAGATTTAGGATTTTGTGCATGGCTATTTAACCCTGTCTCAGTTAAAAAAAAAAACTTTTTCAAAAATGGAAACTGGATTAGTTGAGCAGGTGGGACGTAGAATGGAGTTGTGACGAATCTGTGGCACTATGCATTGTAGGGTTCATTTCCTGGAGGTTTTATATATCATTGAAAATTTTCTTCCAGCAGTTGAGGGAACTCACGTTTGGAGGATAGACAGATGTTCATGCGTTAGAAATTGTGTTTTCTCTTCAGGTGTCTGATACGCTAGTACCTTGAACCCCTAAATTGCTGAATTTCCAAATGTTTACACTTCTGCACGTTCTGTTGGGAGTAGTGACCTTCACCTGAACGATTTCACTTGATTGTGTAGGACCAGATCAAAGAAGGACCAGAACTGCAATGTGCACAATATGTTTTTCTTACGACAATACGTAAATTGGAATAGCAACTGCACTTTAAAAAATAATTCTGACTAAGGCATCGGATCTAATCAATCTAATACGCGGAGAAGGGGATTCCGATTCATAGCAGAAACCGCGTTTTTTTTTAAAGCAAACATGTTGTTCCGAAAAAAATCTCTGAATGGATCACTCCGACTAAAGCGAGTAACAGAGCTTTCCTCGCCATTTGCCAGAAAATTCCAATCCATTGTTGGAATCGGGTTTCCGTTCGCGTTGACTAACCAACGGCTAGTGGGAGTCATCTATCCATTCGAGTTATTATATAAAGGCATCGGGTGGCCTCCTGAAGGTGCGAATGAACTAAACGGTCCGAATGATCACGAAGGATATTTCGGCGAATATTCGAAACAGGCTTTTCTGACGCGAACGAGGAAAAGTGTCATTCGCTTGAACGTCGGAATTCAGATTTATGTCCCTTAGAGGTTTTTTTTAAGAAAAAGAGGGAAATTCCGCAGTGAGGGCGAAGTGGGCTTTCCGAAGAGATGCAGAAAATATTTTCCTGATTATGAGGCGAAATCCAGGTTTACAGGTCCTTCGTTGGAAATATTTACGAAGAATCAGAAAAAAAAAGTGGATTGTACCTTTGTACCATTTAACCTGGAATCCCCTCTTTCTCACTTGCAACTTACGGTGCCTCCCTTCATTACTTGAATCGCGTTTGACACCCTGGAGTATGTTGCTCCCTTTGAGCACGCTTGGCACCTGCTCAAGTGCGTTCCTACTTGTGCTTCTTCCGAACATATCTCGTCATAATCAGATTGACTGTCAGATTCAATTGGATTTTGAGACTGTCGAGTACGTGCCGTTATTAAGCTTCAGGTGTAAAACCCTATTGCAGTATGGCTACGAAAGGATACTAAAATGAAACTATCTTCATCGCAATTCCCTATATCTGTAAAAAAAAAAAATCGTCGTTGCATAGTTCAGAGGTCTTGGTGGTAAATTTGGAGACTCTCTCCCCCCCTCTCTCTCTCTCATGGAAATGGCCTTGCGTTGGAGACGCTGCTGTTCACAACTTTAAGAAATTGCCCAAGGACGTATGAGAAACTCCTTTCAAAAATCGATCTATTCCAGAGAGATTGATGAAGGACTGATGAAGATAATTAATTTTAAAATGGTGTTTCATTGTTTCGTAATGCAGTAGATTGCGCCACCAGCAGGGGAAAGTCGTATGCATTAGCCTGGCGCCAGTTTCCTACCTGCTTACCTTATCTTTAATATCTCTTCCATCTTGCGACTGGTACCAGTACAAATGAGCAGCGACCTTTCTCAAATTTCCTCGACAAATTATCTGTAAAGACAGGCGAGTTCGCTTCTTCCGCTGGATAATGTTTCTTTCACCAATCTTTCTCTTGTAAATGTGTCACCGATGCAACTTACATTGCTAGAAGTTTCAGATACGTCCTGGAATCAATGATGGAGTTTGACAGCTGGTGAAGGACTTGTTCATTCCACCATCGTTCAATGGACTCCGCCGTCTCAAGGTCCTCCTCGCAAAGAAAGACGGTGGGTACTGGCATGTCACTGAGAGATTTTGCTTCAACCTGAGATCTCTTTACATTTGCGAGTGCTAATACACAGAGAGACACGTTGACGTCCCCGGACCCGCTCTCTTGCACTGTTGCTTTTAGGCTGAGAACATCATTTTTTAGCTGCTTTTTGGCTTTCTGGACATTTTCCTTCACTTTCGATTTAGAAGACAGGTTCTTCACTTGCATGAAGACGACCCCAAACTCGCGATGTATCAAGACGATATCATGCTCCCCTGTCACAAGATCCTCCGTGCCACCGCCCACATCCTTCATCTTGATGAGGTGGGAAAAGTTACGGTTATATGTTATGAACATCGGCAACTTCTTGCTTTTTCCAAGCTCATATAGACTCAGGATGATGGACCTCTCGGCCTTTTTCCCTGGATCGTCCTTGACAATCTTAATCCATTCGTTTTTGTCTTCGACGCATGGAACCAAAAGTGTCCTTCCTCCAGTTTCCCAATCACGAAACGTTTCCTTAACGAATCTCTCAGCTTGATAAATCCATGTTGTTTCCTCTGCAGGCTTACTTCTGTCAATCCCGGTCACAACTGGAAAGAAAAGCAGTTCAATTTTTCCTCAGCATCGATTACTTGGAATCCGTGAAGCGGGAGGACAATGAATCATTCAGCGTGCCTTTTCTGCCCCTATGGTTTTAATCCTGACGCGACGGTGAAGTTAACTCTTGTACCGGCAGGAAGCCAATTGACCCGATGTTAGCCGATCCTCCGAAATTGTTTTCTGTTACATGTATTAATACCTCAAATTTAAACTAAAAGATGACATTGTAATGCAGTATATTAGTATCCTGACACTTTCTAGTTCCTGTTATTCCCCATTTTTGTAATTATTTACAGAAAGATTATTTTGTAGTTGTGTTTCACAAGGTCTGGCAGTAAAAGGGTTCATCTCTATTCCTTTTACGAGCAATGGAAACGTATCCTATTGAACTGTTCCAATTTCTGAGCCTGGGTCGTGATGTCCCCGATCCCCACTAAGTTTAGGAACCTCATGCACTGAAAGCGCTAGATGTTTAACTGGTGGCGCCTTCGGTGCTCCATTACCTTGAATAGTGATTAATTCATTCATTTTTTGCGAAATGGCAAACACGTATTTAAAGTACTTTCCCTCAGCTCAGTAATATCATGTGACTTATACGTATCCCAAGTTTCACCTTTCCATTTCTGTCCAATTCGCCATGACAATTTTTTTGTTCAAAACATCGCACCTCGAAAAAATTCCCGAGGGGATGTATCGAGACTTAACATTTGTATTTAACTCCTTGTCTCAGTAGTCATATTCGTGCAACATTTCAGGTTTCCATGTTCATCAGTATAACTGATTCAAAAAAAGTATTTGAAAACATCTCTCTTTGAAATGCGTGCCCCAGGGAATTTACTTCCAAAGTCTGAATTTTCCAGCAAAATCCTTATAGGTATTTTGTACCTAGTTTCATCTTTCCACACTAGCTCAATACGCCAGGACAAAAAGAAAAAACATGAAAACTTCGGCCCCAAAAAATATCACCCCCGGGTATAGATCTACAATTTTGCATTTTTCCTCAACTCATCGTCTTGTTAGCACGTCCATGTCAGGTTTCAGTTTTCCATGTCTCTCCGTTTTACTCAAGTCAGTCAGTCACGATCGTCTATATATATTAGAAAGTATAATTTTTTCTTCTTTTGCAGGTTCTTCTTCGGCAAGTTTAAACTTTCTAGCACCCTCTGTTTTCTTGGATCGAGAAAATACGCCTTTTCCAATATATGTGCCCTCAGGCGTTTTAACAGAAAAGTACCACAATTTTTTTTTTTACCGAAATCAATCCTCAGAGAACTACATGACCACAAAGTTTCAACATTATACGTTTGTCCTTTTCGCTGGTGAAAAAATATGTTTGGAAAAGCCAACGCACCCAAAAGCTATGCCAGGAGGGGATGCACCATTAAAGCGGAATGCTCCCTCAGCCGAATAATATTAATATGTCATTTATACGTGTGCCAAGTTTCACCTTTCCTTTTCTGTCATATTCGCTACGACAAAATTTTTTTTTTAAACATCGTCCTTCAAAAAAATTCCCCAAGGGATGTATCGAGACCTAATATTTTTCTATAAATCTTTGTTTCAATAGTCACATTCACGGAAAGTTTCAGCTTTCCATGTTCATCAGTTTAACTGATGCAGAAGAATTAGTTGAAAACATCTCCCTTTGAAATGTGTGCCCCTGGGGCATTTACTTCCAAAGTCTGAATTTTTCTGCACGCAGCATCCCGATAGGTAGTTATGTACCAAGTTTCATCTTTCCACACCAGCTAAATACCTCAGGGGAAAAACAAATTATGTGAAAACGTCGGCCGCTAAAAATATGACCCCACAGGGCATGGATCTTAAATTTTACATTTTTCCTGAACTCATCCTCTCGGTAGGCATGTCCATGCTAAGTTTCAGCTCTCCATGTCTCTCCGTTTTACAAAAGCAAAAATACTGTTACGGAGGGTGAATGAGTAACGCGACTTGGAAGGAATAAGAAGGCGAAAGAACGCCAAGGAACGGGCGGGAATCGAGTCCGGGTCTGCTGTTTGCCGGTCAGGTATGTTACCACTACACCACCGAGCCCAACATCTCCAGTCATGCCTCCGATGGCGTCCTAATCGGTCACAATATATATCTTTAAAAACTTCTTCCCCCAAAATGTTTACCCCTAGGGCATGTACCTCCAAAGTCGGATTTTTTCTCAACTCTACATCCCAGTAGGTACATGTGTACCAAGTTTCAAATTTCTAACTTCTCTAGAACATGGTTAGAGTTAGCGTCAGTCAGTCTGTCAGTCAGTCAGTCAGTCGGTCGCGATCGTCTATATATATTAGATGATATAAAAGTTGGTGATGCTCTGATACACTGCACGATTTTACGAAATGCAATTCACTTGGATTTATATTGATTTTTTCCTGGTAGTCAGCAGTTCCCTCCCCTCAAAACTCTTGAAAGTATGGTTCTGGCTCAGGCTAAACAACTTGATCGTAACCAAGCCTAACCTAACCTAACTTTTCAAAACTTTTCAGCTTTGAGTAAAAGTGGTATTTAATCACTCTGCGACGGACACCCTTTCAAATGATTCGTTGAATGGCTCATTGAATTCTGTTTAAGTGCCAAAATAACATTATTTTGGGCATACTCATTTTTCAGACAAATTATACCCAGTCTCACACACAAGCACGAGGCTATAAATAAATAAAATATAAACTTAATAGCAAAAGAATTCCACCGTGGAATGGAATCAACACCTGTATTGATAGAGTACGGGTGCTGTTCGTTTTCCACGCTGTTTCGGTATTGAATTCGTAGACCCTAACGAGATCTATTGATTGCAGGCACTGGTCTTCCAAGTTGGATGTTTTGTGCATCACCTTCTGAAGTTGAACCTTTAAGAAATTTTTTTTTTCTTATCTCCACAATGGGAGGATGATACGAATTTTCGATCTGGAAACAGTATTTTAGATTCATAATATAAGAAAAATACAGAAAAATTATATTTAGCATTAATACCACCATTTCGAGTCGAATATAGACTTTAAAAAATATTGTTAGGAAGTAATTTTTCGTCATTGTCGAACGGAGAAAGTCTGATGCAGGTCAGTTTGACCAGCTAAAATAGGTGAACATTTTGTGACCCCGCTACGGACCCACTTTTGGTCAGAAAATGAAATATTTTGGATTTCCCACTTTTGGACCAATCGCTAACACCTCACCAAATTCCAGCGAAATCGGTGATGGTCGACCTAGAAACAATGGAAAAATTGGTCGATCTGACGTGGAATTACCCAGATGCCAAACACTCTTAAAGTTAAACACTTCTCTATTTTGTTTTTTTTTGCGTATCCTGGTTGCTTACTGTCTAGTACCTAGCGTCAATATTGCCCCCACCTTTTTCCCTGTCCATGAAAGCATCTAGTTTCTTCTTAAAGATAGTCACAGAGGGGGCAGCCACTACTTCGTCATCTAACGCATTCCACGAGTTCACCACTCTGAGAGTGAAGAATTCCTGTCTCAACTTGAGCCGCACCTGCGGTTTGCGCGACTCAAGTCGGTTACCTATGGCTCTCTTGCTGTCACCAAATTGGAAAATCCTACCAAATTCGATATTATCTATTCCTTTAATTATCTGGAAAGCCTGGATGAGATCGCCCCTCCTTAACCTTCGCTCGAGCGAGTACAGCCCAACACTTCTAAACGCTTCTCGTATGATAGTCCCCTGACCTCCTTAATCATTCTTGTGGCCCTCCTCTTTACTCCCTCGAGCGTCAACAAATCGCCCTTATTTGTAGGCCTCCAAAACTGGATGCAATATTCCAACTGGGGTCTTATCAGCGCCGCATACAACGGAAGAATAACGCGCGAAGTCCTACTTGCAACCGAACGACGAATGTAACCTAGAATCCTGTTGCATTTGGCCACCGTCGCTTGCGCGTGCGAGGAAAACTTGAAGTCCTCGTCGATAGAAACACCTAAATCTCTCTCTCCGTTTGCCTCATCCATCGCCGAACGTGTGGAGAGACCTACCGTTGTTTCGACCGACGTGGAGAACTTTGCACTTACTTTTATTAAACCTCATGAGCCATTTCTTGCTATTTCTTTCCATATATTGTCATGTTTTCAGTTATCCCCATTAGTGAAGTAGGTATACTTAGAGGAGGGGCGAATCGATAGAATAACATTTCTTAGCAAATGGTATCCCCCATATTAGAACTTATAATTAGTTCTGGATGTTTCTGCATATCATATCAAAAGAAGGCTTCTCCTGACCACGTCCATTTGCATATTTCGCTTGAACTTTGTTTCTTGTAATAGAACTAACTGATAAGCGTACTGGGCTTAGTAAAAGAACGTTCGCTAGGTGACTAGGGGGATATTAAAAGGTATTCTTGAATATTCCAACGCTGTGGCGCAGTCAAGAGGGGGGGGGCGGGGGAGGGGGTTTAAGTATCTCTCTGTTCCTAAATCTCTATCTCCCCTGAGGGTGGGGGAAACGCTGGAAGATCATGAAGAAACACCCTGAGAGCGAAGCTAAAAGGTCACGCCAGTCACATGTGGCTACTCGCTGCTGAATTTTTTTTCTGAAAACGGGACGACGACGACTCATGTAAGGTATGAATCACGTTCAGGTTAACGAATTTCCAGTTGATTGTCTGCGATGTGAAATCTGGGTTGAATCCTGAAATACACTTTCCCCGAAAAACACGTGCATGGGATGATCTATCATATATCATCATATGTATCTCTTCTCTATTATATAGGAGCATGGCGAAAATCCACCCAGAGCCAGAGCTACCGGGGGCAAGAATGCCTAGCAAATGCAAGAAGATCCTGTCAACTGAATACCATCATGGATGGCGTTCGAAGCATGAATGGGCGAATGAGTGATAATCTGTTGAATTATGAAATCTGATGCCCATCCAACCATTTTGTTTCGTATTCTCTGTTATTCATGCGTGATTTCATGCAGTGCAAATAGATTGTAAGGAACAGTCAAAACTAGTATTGTCTTTTGGAGCAACGATTCCACCGCATGCGTAATACGAAAGGCGAGGCATAGAAGTATTTGTCTTAGGACACGTCTTTTGAACAGTGCATTTTGGAATGGGTAAAAACAAAATAGGTATACATTTTTTCTTGTTTCCTTCCTTAATGTCGGAATTCTATTTTCCGAAAATGCATGGTTCTAACATGGAATACGTAAAAAGACTCAAAAACGCCAAGTACTTCGCAAATAGGGTGAAAAATTCCGCTCCTACTCGGGGGTTACAAGACGGAATTCCCCCTGTCCATTTGAAAATTAAGGTCTCTTGAGGGAAAGAAGCCCTTCCAAGATTATTCGGTATTTTTTCCGAGTCTGGCAGGAATAAGGCATTTCCCTCTTTCATGTAAAACTGGTTTTCCCCTAATAAGAGGAATCGCACTCTAGCATACCTGGCGGATTTTCCCTCTTGAAACTGTAAGAGGAGATTCCGAGTTTTAA